TCCTCCCAGCCGGCCCGGGAGCGGGTGTGCCCCGGGCTCCGCATCCCAGAGCAAAGGGGCCAGAGCCTTCCCGACCTTTAGAGAAGGTCCTGCCCAGCCTGCGGCCTCCCGGGGCCCCCTCTTGGCCTGAACACGGGGACCCGGGTCCCGCACATAACGGCCGGGAGGCCTTTAGGTGGGTGGAAACTTCGACAGAGTGATCCGTTTACTTTACTTTAAAATGTTCATTTGAAGAAAAAACTCCACCTAATCTTTTGCCTTGGGAGTCGCTCAGATGTTGGTGTTTGCTGCCTTTACTTAGAAGTCTGCGGAAGCCACATCCTGCCCGCAGCCTCAGAAAAGCTGGAAGTGGGGCTGCAGCCCGGCCCCTCCCCCGGGTGAAGTCGGTGGCGGCCGCTGCTGTCCCTAGGGATCCCCACGGGAGCCCCGGTGGTGCTGGTGGTCTCGCCCCTCCCACCCTGTCTCCCGGTGGGCATCAGGGCAGTTTCCTCATTGCCATCCCAAGGCGGGGCTGGCTCCAACTTGGCCTTCAGTGCCCTCCCCTCTGGCCCCATCTGGCCTTGCTGTCCACCTGCCCTGGCCGCAGGCCGGACACACACACCACACCAGCGTTTCTGCTGCCGCCCTCCACCCGCATGCCCAGGGCCTCTTACCTCTCCCAGGAGGTGTCCTGCTGGCCCCTCAACGCCCAGCTCACATCACCTCCTCTGGGAGGCCTCCTTGATGCTTCCCAGGGGCCAGAGCCCGCGGCTACATCCCCGTTCCAGTGGCCCTTCATTCATGTGTCTGTTATAACCTCTGCTGCCCCTCATCACCCCAGCCTCAGCCTGGAGCAAGGGCCGTGCTCAGGGAGGGTCTGTCGGGTGGGCGGGGATGGAAGAGCAGAGAAGGCACAGAACCGAGTGCTCCTGTAGATGCCTGGAAGAAGGCGGTGGGGGGTTTAGAGATCACCAGCCTTCTCATGGGGACACCTGGGAGGTGCCCCCTTCTGTTGGGCAGGGTCTGGCAGCCAGAGAACTGGGGGCAGAGCAGGGCCCACTGTTACTATTTGGGAGCTGTTTGCAGAAGCCAGTGCCCACAACTTATGTACCCTACCCCCCCTGCCCCCGACCAACACACACACACACAATTCACTGACCTTGGCTCCCACCCACCCCGCCTCCTCTAGCCTGGCCTTGCTAAACCTCCACCCAGGTCCAGGACCTGGACCCCCAGGTCCCTCTGTGTCTCCATCCTGGCCTTGCTAAGCCTCCACCCAGGTCCGGGACCTGGACCCTCAGGACCCTCTGTGTCTCCATCCTGGTCCCCTTTGGCTTTCGCATTTCCACCCCATGCCCCCACTTGACACACGGTGTCCTGGTCTCATGATAGAAACGTTTGCCTCCTTCTCCGTCCTGGGAGATGTGGGGGTGGGGCTGCTAACTCCACGCCCTGGCACAAATGTACATCCTTCTCTCAAATTAGGCAAAGAAAATGATAGATCCCAAGTAAACCAGGGAACATAAAGGGCTTCTGAGTTCAGACTCCGCACTGTGTTTATCTTTGCACGCTTAACACAGAAGCCCTGATCCTGCAAATTGGGTGAAAACTAGCACCATCCCCAGGCGGGGCTGGCTTCAACTTGGCCTTCAGTGTCCTCCCCTCTGGCCCCATCTGGCCTTGTCATCCACCTGTCCTGGCCGCAGGCTGGACACACACACCACATCAGCGTTTCTGCTGCCGCCCTCCACCCGCGTGCCCAGGGCCTCTTACCTCTGTCTAGTATGCAACTGCCTTCTAGTGAGCCTTCTTGGGTAATCAGAACATCCCATGCATTGGCGGGGTGGAAGTACTGCTGTGCTCTGGTTCACTGAGTACTCTGGATAGTGGAGGGTGACGGAGAACATTTGGTGTCCACCTGTCTCTTTTTTTTTTTTCACACGGAGTCCTACTCTGTCTCCCAGGCTGGAGTGCAGTGGCACGATCTCGGCTCACTGCAACCTCTGTCTCCTGGGTTCAAGCGATTCTCTTGCCTCAGTCTCCCCAGTAGCTGGGACTTCAGGCACACAGCACCACGCCTGGCTCATTTTTGTATTTTTAGTAGAGATGGGGTTTCACCTTGTTGGCCAGGCTGGTGTCGAACTCCTGACCTTGGGTGATCCACCTGCCTTGGCTTCCCAAAGTGCTGGGATTATAGGTGTGAGCCACTGTGCCCGGCCTGGTGTCCATCTTACCAATGAAAGTTTTTTCTTTAAAGACAGAGTCTCCTGCTCTGCCCGCTCTGTTGCCCAGACTGGAGTGTAGTGGTGATCTCAGCTCACTGCAGCCTTGACCTCCTGGGCTCAAGCCATCCTCCCACCTAAGCCTCCTGAGTAGCTGAGACTACAGGCGCGTACCACCACGCCCAACTAATTGTTGTATTTTTTCTGGAGATGGGGTCTTGCCATGTTGTCCAGGCTGGTCTCAAACTCCTGGGCTCGAGGGATCCTCCTACCTCCACCTCCCAAAATACTGGGATTACAGGTGTGAGCCACGGTGCTTGGCCAGATTGAATCTTTAGTTAAAAAACAAAAAATTCCCTGGCAGCATATATATATATATTTTTTCACTTTTCCTAGAGTCTTGCTGAGACAGTGACAGAGGGAGTGCTACAGAATGGAGGATTCGGGTGAGGTGAGCCTCTGCTCACCAAGGTTTCTCACCGCCAGGCGAGGGGTAGCGGTCTGGCTCACGTTCGTTTCCTCTTTGCAGCTGTTCACACAACCTTAGCAGTGAAAGGGGGCGTCCGCCTTGCTGTGCTGATAAGGTCACAGGGCATGTGATGTGACTCCTCTGAGGGCACACGGCACAGTCGTGGTCAACCTGGGATTTGAACCCAGACCTCTCGGCTCCCTGTCCAGCGTTTCTCTGGTGTGCCCAGCACCGGGGACACAGATCCCAGTTGGGCCCATCAGCTGGAGGCTCAGAGCCACAGCCTTCTATGGGCGATGCTTAGAAATGGCCTGTAGGGGCTGGGCGCAGTGGCTCATTCCTATAATCCCAGCATTTTGGGAGGCTGAGGCGGGCGGATCATCTGAGGTCAGGAGCTCGAGACCAGCCTGGTCAACATGATGAAACCCTGTCTGTACTAAAAATACAAAACAATTGACCAAGCATGGTGGCACATGGCTGTAATTCCAGCTACTCAGGAGGCTGAGGCAGGAGAATTGCTTGAACCTGGGAGGCAGAGGTTGCATTTAGCTGAGATTGCGCCACCACACTCCAGCCTGGGCGACGGAGCGAGACTCCGTCTCAAAACAAAAAAAAAAAGAAAAAAAGAAATGGCCCATAAGAGCTCTGACTGCATTCTTCTCTGTCCTTGAAGAGTGCAGCGTCTCTCCTGCTGACTCCCGGCTGTGTGCTGAGGCTGTGTCCCCTGTCCTTTGGCGAAGGAGTGGAGTTTGACCCCTTACCACCAAAGGAAGTAAGGTAAATACAGCAGGCCCCAATTTTATTCTTTTTTTTTTTTTTTACAATTTTTATTTTTTATTCCAGATATTCATGCTTGTTGTTATAAAAAATTAGTTAATTGCAAAAATGTGACAAAGATGATTAGTAGTTTGGTGGGTCCTCTTTCTGTTTCTGCATTCTAACCCATTAAATATACAGGCATGCTTTTAACATTAAAATGAAAATGAGATCGTGATTTGTATAGAGTTCTGCATTTTCTTTTTGCACTTCATGAATCACGGCCGTCAGAGGGTTACAATTTTGTCAAATATTAATTCTTATTTCCAGAGGCTGCTGCCCCCTACTCCCTTGCCTGCCAACCCCCTCTCTGAGGTCTTTTAACCTTGTCTCACAGTATAATTCACTAGCCAAGCACTGGTCTTCCTCTGGGGATTATCTCATCCAGCATTATCTGGGGACAAAGATGCACTGACTGACTCAGGTAAAGATAGGTCTTTTTAGAGAAAGGAGTTTCACTTTTGGTACCTGGTGGTTTGAGAGCTGGAGTTTCCGCTGCATCAACACAAAGGCCCCTTTGACATGGAACAAAGGCGAGGTTCATCAGTTGGGAGGTGAGCAGTTCAGCCTTTTGTTCCTGTGGAGCTTGTATTTTGAGCAAAATGGGGCCATGACTCCCACCAGCCTCTTAACTGCTTGCCTACGGAGGAGAGACGAGATTTCCATTCCACTCACAGAAAAGAACACTGATTCTTACTCACCTGACCAGTGGGTAGGGCTGGTTGGAGGCAGTGCTGTCAGATGTGTCTGCATGTGACACTCATACACTTTTCAGTATCTACAAAGCTATAAGAATTCAGTAAAATGCATTAAAGCTTTTGCTTCTATAAGAAAACTAACTTCTGGGCCAGGCACAGTGGCTCACGCCTAGAGTCCAGCATTCTGGGGGACTGAAGCAGGATGATGGCTGGAGCCCAGGAGTTCGAGACCAGCCTGGGCAACAACAGTGAAACCCTGTCTCTACAAAAAATACAAAACTTACCTGGGAATAGTGATGCATGCCTGTGGTCCCAGCAACTCAGGAGGCTGAGGTGGGAGAATCGCTTGGGCCTAGCAGGTGGAGGCTGCAGTGAGCTGAGATCACCCCCCTGCACCACTCCAGACTGAGCGACAAAGTGAGACTCCACCTCCAAAAAAAATAGAAAAGAAAAGAGAAGAAAATCACTTCCAAAATTAAAAGAAAGACTTGAAAAAATTAAGTGCCTGAGGAACATAGATGCTAATTTATCTTATGGAAATCAAGATGATAATTGGCTTTCATTGGTAAGGTCAGACACCTGTGTTTGGGGAGGGTCCCCAAACCAAATGCCAAGGTGAACAAAGTGTTAATATTTGGTATAGCCAAACTTTCAGAACCAGCATTCTGGGTTCCTTTGTCCTCTCATTAACTAGCTGACAGGGTGGGCGCAGTGGCTCATGCCTGTAATCCCAGCACTCTGGGAGGCCAAGGTAGGAGGATTGCTTGAGCCCAGGAGGTTAGGACCAGCCTGGGCAATACAGAAAGTCCTCATCTTTACAAAGAATAAAAGATATGTTTAAAAAAAAAAAAAAAAAAGAGGCCGGATGCAGTGGTTCATGTCTATAATCCCAGCGTTTTGGGAGGCTGAGGCAGGCAGATCACCTGAGGTTGGGAGTTCGAGACCAGCCTGGCCAACATGGTGAAACCCTGTCTCTACTAAAAATACAAAAATTACCAGGGCGTGGTGGCGTGCACATGTAATCCCAGCTACTCGGGAGGCTGAGGCAGGAGAATCGCTTGAACCCGGGAGGTGGAGGTTGCAGTGAGCCGAAATTGCACCACTGCACTCCAGCCTGGGTGACAGAGAGACACTCCGTCTCAAAAAAAAAAAAAAAAGAGGAAACGGAAGCTCGGAAAAGTGAAATAACTTGGCTAAGGTCTTAAGCTCACACGAGTGGGAGCGGGATCCAGGGGCTGCTGCCTGCAGTGGCTACCAGTGATGCGGGATAAGCTTAGGAATCCTGCACCCCTGTGTTTAAATCCCAGCTCTACTATTCAGTGGTGTTGTGACCTTCACCTCTGCACCTCGGTGTCCTCTCAGGGTTGTTGGGGAAATTAAGTTGGATCCCGTAAGTAAAGTACTTAGAAGGGTACCTGGCACAGAGTAAGTACTCTGCGGACTCTGTGACCCTATTTCTACATGTGCACCCCACAAATGACTCAGTCACGGTGGGGACCCCAAGCCCCTGGCTCAGGGGAGCGGCTTCACGCGGCCTTGTGTCTCCCGCGCAGGTACACCTCCTCGGTCAAGTACGACTCCGAGCGGCACTTCATCGACGACGTGCACCTGCCCCTGGGCCTGGCGGTGGCCTCCTGCAGCCAGACGGTCACCTGCATCCCCAACGGCACCTGGCGCAGCTACAAGGCCGAGGTGCGCTTCGAGCCGCGCCACAGGCCCACGCGCTTCCTCAGCACCACCATCGTCTACCCCAAGTACCCCAAGACCGTCTACACCACCACCCTGGACTACAACTGCCGCAAGACGACGCGGAGGTTTCTGTCCAGCGTGGAGCTCGAAGCCACGGAGCTCCCGGGCGGCGACGACCTCTCCGACGAACGCTGACTCGGCTGGGCCGGGGTCGGACCGGCTGCTCCGCTGTCCTGCCCCCGACTGCCCTGGCCAAGCCGGGCGACCTTACCCTTCATGTCATTCCAGCCCCAGAGGAGTCTAACCTAGAGAGACCTCCAAGCCCGGCCGGGGGAAGAGAAAAAAAAAAATCGCTGCCACTCATAATTATTGAGATCTTTGTGTTGTGATGTTTAAGCTGTTTTTAGAGGGAGTATATGTCCTGGTTTGCTGCTGTGTTTCCCCAAAGTCTCAATCAGGTGAGGCAACAAAAAGACCACTGGGACCGCAGGAAAGCAGCAACCATCTGGGGTAGGGAGGAAGGAGGAGAGCTCTCCCTCCATGGCCAGTTTGTCCGAAGAAGAGGGTGGAAAAAGTGAGATTTTAGAAATTTCAGCCACGGGTGTCTTCACCGCGCAAAAGTGGTGCTAATTCAGTAAACGGCGACACCTGCGTGGGTTCAATCTGTGGGGGGTAGAGTTTCGTTCCTTTGTTTTTACATTTCCATCTCTGTTTATGTTTCCTGTTAACCTAAACTCTTGTAATTCTCTAAATCTTTTTTCATGATATCAAAAAAAAAAAAAAAAAAAAAATCCCAAACCACAATGTAAGATGCCTTAAAAAAAAAAAAGGTTCATGTTGCCGCTCTGGGAAGGCCAGGCCGGGGCCGCCGGGTGTGGTTTTGGCCCCGATTACTTCCTCGCCATCAGTTCCAAGCACAGGCTCTGAGAAAACGCCTCGAACCCTTGGCATGTGCTGACCGTCCGCAGGCTTCCGTGAGTCTGGGACAGGTGTTTTGGCCTTTTGGAATATTTTCAGAATTACTTTCCCATTTTTTCATAAGGCAAAACGGAGCCGGAGGACCTTTTTTGAGAGAAACAGCTTTCTAAGAGTATGCTTGGAAAACACACTTTTTGGGGAGTCCGCGAGGGGAGTGGACACTCGGGACACGAACCGGTGGCCCTGGCTAAGACCTGCGGCCGCCCGGAGGAGGCAGACGCCGATGATGACCTGGTTCATCATGAGAGGGGCCGGGGTTGACTCATTCTTAGGATTTCGGTGGCGTCAGAATTGCAGAGGGATTTTGCTGGGGCCTTAAGTCTAATTCAAACAGTCAGGAAGGCCGGGCGCGGTGGCTGGAGCCTGTGGTCCCAGCTACTCGGAAACTGAGGCGGGAGGATCTCTTGAGCCTAAGAATTCGAGACCAGTCTGGCAACATAGTGAGCCTCCATCTCTAAAAAATATGGCAGAAAAAAAGGCGAGGAAATGCGTGTGCCCATCCGCCGACAGCAGACAAGGTGCATTCACAGTAGGGTGCGATGTCAAAGCCTGGCCGCTGTGGCTGCGCGTCCTTCTTACCCACCGCACAGGTGCAAGTGGCATTCGACTGCCGTGTTCCCAGGGACCGTGAGAATTCGGCTGACCCAGCCGGGCAGTGGCGGTGGACCAGGGCCTGGTGGCTTCGGCTCTGCCTCCCACCACCCCATCCTCCCCCAGCCCCTTCTTCTTGGGACCTCCTGCCAATCCCTGTGGTGTCTGAGGAAAGAAAGTGGCAGATGGTTTTACTGTTTTCTTCCAAGATTGGAAAGAACAAACTAGATATTTCCTTTGAATGCATCCAAATGATGTCAAGTGCCCGAGGGTCACCGGGCACCGTGGGCTCCGCTCCTCTGCGGCTCCGGGTTTCTGTGGACGGCTTCCATCTGTCCCGAAAGCAGAAGCGAGAGCTCCGTGGTGCCCCGGGGCCACAGCAGCAGGTGCGGTGATAATTGCCATCGTGTGCAGTCGCTGGAGGCCTGGAGAGCCACATTGTCCTCTGCAGACCACAGCGTCCGTCCGCGGTGCCCCTCACCAATGCAAGCGGCCTGTGGACACAGCCTGGGGTCCACCCGTGGTCTGCACTTGCCAGGCTGAAGCTCGGCTGGGACCCAGTGAGGGGGCACCCTGGCACCCATGGTATCCTCAGTCACATGCAGAGCAAAAAATGCTTCCTGTGTTTGGAAGAGCAAGTGACGCAGCATGTATTGATAAAAATGGATTTTCTGTCTGATTTCATGCTGTGGTCATTTAAGTGGTCAATATTTTTTTGTTTTTTTGTTTTTTTTTTTTGAGACGGAGTCTCACCCTGTTGCCCAGGCTGGAGTGCAGTAGCACGATCTCGGAGTACTGCAACCTCTGCCTCCCGGGTTCAAGGGATTCTCCCGCCTCAGCCTCCTGAGTAGCTGGGACTACAGGCGCACACCACCACGCCTGGGTAAGTTTTGTATTTTTAGTAGAGACGGGGTTTCACCATGTTGGTCAGGCTGGTCTCGAACTCCTGACCTTGTGATCCACCCGCCTCGGCCTCCCAATAACTTTTAAGTTATGTTAGCGGGATCCTCAGGGCCTTGCCCTGCCCCATGGAAACACTTGCTTGGATGAGCTCAGGAAACAGTACCGGCTGCTTGGCAGGCGTGGGCGTTGCGTGGGAGGACGTGGCCTTTAAACACCGCTGTGTTCTCAGACGTCCTTAGGAGATTTTTTGGGTCTTATGGGGACTGTATTAAGTTCAGGCAAATCATGCTAGGTGTGGAGAGAGTCTGAAATATGTCAGTAAAGTAAGTAGGAGTGAGCGATTGTGAATGTGTAATGCAAATGGAAAACCAGGTTTTATTGTGTTAAGTTATTCACCAGGGAACCAACTGTAGTTCTTTCTAATCCTCTTTCTCTCCAAACCTGCTTTGCTGAAAGTTGCAGAAAGGAAGTGTGTGGAGAGAAAGAGTGTTTCAGGTGGGTCAGAGGACGCCATCCACAGTGGATTCATGTTCGTTTGCAGGGTGGAAGCAGTGATTTTTAAGACCACTGATTAAAAACAAACATCCCTCAGTGTATCTGAGAGATGCTGTTTATTTGTTAATGAAAAAGCTTTTTTCTCCGTCTCTTAAATAATGGCTTTCATGTAATAAGGATATTTTTAGTGAAAAGTTATTTTCCTTGCAAATTACAGACCTTTTTGAAAAACTTAATTTGAGCGAGTACCTTTTCATTTGACACTTTTACTGTTTCTAACCTTAGGAAAGCAGAAGCGTCTGGCAGACACGACGTTTTCAGTTTACCTTTGACACCTGCCCCACTCCATTTCGCTTTGTGACGTCTTCATTTAACAATAAATTATCTGAAAAAACAAAACTTAGAGAGATGCTTCTGTTTTTAAAGTAGTGATGACTGGGAAGTAATTATGTCCCGGAGATGCAGCTCCGTCTTGAATGCTGATCCGCCCTGTTGACTTTGGATTCACCGCAGTTCAGCGAATGCCTCTATTTTATCTACCGTTGCTTATATAGGAACATGTACTCAGCACAGATCCTGCCCTGAGGCAGATTCACATAGCATTTCTGCCTTTCCCTGCAGGCGTCCCACACAATTCTTCCCTGTGGTGGATGAGTCCTGGGTCTAGGGGTAACAGCACAGGGATCCACCATCTCCCCTCGCTGCTGCCTGAGACCTCCTGGCTGCTGCTCCTGAGGCTTTATTAGATGTTTCTTTCTTAAAAACCTCTGTTCTTTAAAGACTCCGTTAAGAAAACGTAAGTCAGAGAGTGGGAGAAAATACATCTGACAAAGGACTTGTATCTAGAATATGTAGAGAACTCTTTAAGTCAACATTTCTTTTTCTTTTTCTTTTTTTTGATTTGGAGTCTTGCTCTGTGGCCCAGGTTGGAGTGCAGTGGCGCGATCTCAGCCCACTGCAAGCTCTGCCTCCCGGGTTCACGCCATTCTCCTGCCTCAGCCTCCTGAGCAGCTGGGACTACAGGCACCTGCCATCTCGCCCGGCTAATTTTTTATATTTTTAGTAGAGATGGGGTTTCACCGTGTTAGCCAGGATGGTCTCGATCTCCTGACCTCGTGATTGGCCCGCCTCGGCCTCCCAAAGTGTGGGTATTACAGGTGTGAGCCACCATGCCCGGCCAGCATTCTTTTTTTGAGACAAGGTCTCGTCTGTCACTCAGACAATGGTGCAATTATGGATTAACTTCCACGTCCTGACCCCACGCCATCCTCAGCCTCCTGAGTAGCTGGGACTACAGGCACGTGCCACCATGCCCGGCTAATTTTGTTGTATTTTTGTAGAGATGGAGTTTCTCTGTGTTGCCCAGGCTGGTCTTGAACTCCTGGGTTCAAACGATCCTCCCACCTCAGCCTCCCAGAGTGCTGGGGTTACAGGCGTGAGAACAACCCTATTAAAAATGAGCAAAAGACTTGAACAGACAGGTCATAAAAGAAGATATATGGATGGAAAATAAGTGCATGAAAAGATGTGCAAAACCATTAGATATCAGGGAAATGCAGATTAAAGCTAAGGTTAAATATAATTTGATACTTACCTATGAGAAATGAAAATGTAGGTCCATCAAAATGCTTGCACACAATAAAGTGACTGGTCATTCTGTTGATAGCCATATGCTAAAGGAACCAAAATGTCCATCCATCTACAGAATAACTGATCAACAAAGCTATAGTGTATATTAATATAGATACTAGAATACTATTTAGACCAGGCACAGTGGCTCACACCTGGAATTCCAGCACTTTGGGAGGCTGAGGTGGGAGGATCACCTGAGGTCAGGAGTTCGAGACCAGCCTGACCAACATGGTGAAACCCCATCTCTACTAAAAACACAAGAATTAGCTGGGCGTGGTGGCGGGCGCCTGTAATCCCAGCTACTCGGGAGGGTGAGGCAGGAGAATCACTTGAACCCAGGAGGTGGAGGTTGCAGTGAGCTGAGATTGTGCCATTGCACTCCAGCCTGGGCAACAAGAGGGAAACTCTGTCTCAAAAAAAAACACATATATATATATGCACACATATATACAAAATGGAATACTATTTAACAATACAAAGGAATAAATTGCTGATACATGTAATATTGTGGGTGACTCTCGCAGACACAATGCTGACAGGCACCAAAGGATGCATCTAGTATGATGATTCCACTTATGAGATTCTAAAACAGGCAAAAGGATTGGTGGTTGAAAAGAATTAGACTAATGGTTGCCTAGCTGTGTGTGTGGTGGTTGGTGACTTACTGGGAAGGAACATGATTCTTTCGATGGAATTGAGATGTTTCAGATCCTGATGGGGGAGGGTACATGGGAATCTGTTAAGCTAAATACAGGAGGAATTTAGTTTACAGTTTAATTTTGAAGCAAAGATGATAACAATCTGATATGGGTTGGCTGTGTGTCCCCACCCAAATCTCATCTTGAATTGTCATCCCCATAAGCCCCACAAGTCAGGGGAGAGCCCCGGTGGAGTGGTTGGATCGTGGGGCCCCTCCCACTATGCTGCTCTCGCGATAGTAAGTGAGTTCTCACGAGATCTGATGGTTTTTTAAGGGGCTCTTTCCCCCGGGCTCAGCATTGCTCCTTCCGGCTGCCGTGTGAGGAAGGTGTCTTCCTGTCCCTCCACCTTCTGCCACGATTGTAAGTTTCCTGCGGCCTCCCCAGCCACGCTGAACTGTGAGTTAAACCTCTTTCCTTTCTAAATTACCCAGTCTCAGGCAGTTCTTCACAGCAGCGTGAAAACAGACTAACACACAACCCCTTTCCCAAACAAACCCCCTTTGGTTGTTGACAGAAGATGCGATGAATGCCTATATTTATAAAGCAAAGGGGCTGATAGAAAAATATGGAATTTAGAATAAAGCATGTGAGAAATTTTTTTTCTTTCTTTTTTTTTTTTTTTTTGCGTCTCGCTGTATCGCTGGAGTATGGTGGTGTGATCTCGGCTCACTGCAAGCTCCGCCTCTCGGGTTCAGGTGTTTCTTGTGCCTCAGCCTCCCGAGTAGCTGGGATTACAGGCACCTGCCGCCACGCCTGGCTAATGTTTGTATTTTTAGTAGAGACGGGGTGTCACCATGTTGGCCAGGCTGGTCTCAAACTCCTGACCTCAAGTGATCCGCCCACCTCGGCCTCCTAAAGTGCTGGGATTGCAGGCATGAGCTGCTGTGCCTGGCCGAAATTTTTCCTTTTGAAGGAAATGGTATCATGATCTAACATTTAGAGGGAGAGATGCAGGCTTACTCTATGTATTAGGTATATTTTTGCTATTAGCATGAATTGTAATAATTAGGAGTATGCTGAAGCTCCATAGTTAACTAAATTGTACTTGCTTAAAGCAGGTGTCTTTAAAAGTTCTTTTAGAAAAGTATTTATTTTTATAGATTTAGGGGGTACGGATGCAGTTTTCTTACATGGATATATTATATAGTGGCCAAGTCTGGGCTTTTGGTGTACCTGTCACTCAAATAGTGTCCATTGTACCCAAAAGGTAATTTCTCGTCTCTCGCCCTCCTCCCACCTCCCCACCTTTCCAAGTCTCCAGTCTCTCCTACTCCACCACCCTGTGCACACATGGTTTAGCTCCGACTTTTACATGAGAACATGTGGTGTTTGACTTGGTTTCTGAGTTGTTTCACTTGTGATGATGGCCTCCAGCTCCAACATGTTGCTGCAAAGACATGGTTTTATTCTTTTTTTTATGGCTGAGGGGTATCCCATGGTATACATTTGCCATATTTTCTTTATTCAGTTGCCCGTGGGTGAGCGCTTGGATTGAATCCGTGTCTTTGCTATTGTGAGTTGTGCTGCGTTGGACTTGCGAGTGTGGGTGTCTTTTGGATAGAATTGCGAGTGTGGGTGTCTTTTGGATAGAACAGTTTCTTTTCCTTTGGGTGGACACCCATGGTGGGATTGCCGGGTAGAAAGGTAGCTCTACTTTTGGTTCTCTGAGAACTCTCCATGCCGTTTTTCTTGAGGGTTGTGCTGATTTACGTTCCCACCAGTAGAGTGCAGGCCTTCCCTCTTCTCTACGTCCTCGCCAACATCTGTTGTTTCGTTGACTTTGTAGAAAGTCTCCCCTGGTAATATGTATACAGACTTTAATAATTGATTGTTCTTTTGGCTCATCTGTTCTTCTCCAATGAGTTAGTGTTACTGGTATAATAAAAACAGGAATTAAGAATCAAAAAATAATTAAAAAAAAAAAAAAAAAAAAACGGCCTGGTGCACTGGCTCACACCTGTAATCCCAGCACTTTGGGAGACCGAAGTGGATGGATCACTGGAGGCCAGGAGTTCAAGACCAGCCTGGCCAATATGGTGAAACCCCATCTCTACTAAAAAATACAAAAATTAACTGGGCATGGTGGCGAGCACCTGTAATCCCAGCAACTCCAGAGGCTGAAGCAGGAGAATCACTTGAACCTGGGAGGCGGAGGCTGCAGTGAGCCGAGATCACAGCAGTACACTCCAGCCTGGGCAACAGAGTGAGACTCCATCTCAAAAACAAACAACAAACAGACAAAAAATCCTTTCTTCTCAAAGTGTATACTTTGTCAAAATTGTCCAGCTGAGATCTGTGGGCCATGTGCTGTGGTGCACGCCTGTATTCCCAGCACTCTGGGAGGCTGAGGGAGGTGGATTGCTTGAGCCCAGGAGTTTGAGACCAGCCTGGTCAACATGAAAAAAACCTTGTTTCTACAAAAAATACAAAAATTAGTTGAGCGCAGTGGCGTGCACCTGTAGTCCTAGCTACCTGGGAGGCTGAGGTGGGAGAATCGATTGAACCTGGAAGGTGGGGGTTGCAGTGAGCCGAGATCACACCACTGCACTTCAGCCTTGGCAAGAGGGCAAGACCCTGTCTCAAAAAAAAAAAAAAAAAAAAAAAAAAAAAATTTGTGCATTCTAATGTAATTTTTGTCTCAAAGAACATGGAGAGTCCTCCAAAGGGTTTATCTTGTCCACTGCACAGATAGAACCAATTTACCAAGACAGCAGTATTACAATAGGGCAATAGCTTAACAAACACAGAGCCAGTAAGCGGAAGAACAGGAGTTATTATTACTCAAATCCACCTCTGAAAATTCAGAGGCTAGAGTTTTGTTTGTTTGTTTGTTTGTTTTTAGACAGAGTCTCGCTGTGTTGCCCAGGCTGGAGTGTAATGGTGCAATCTCGGCTCACTGCAACCTCTGCCTCCCAGGTTCAAATGATTCTCCTGCCTCCGTCTCCTGAGTAGCTGGGATTACAGGCACCCACCACCATGTCTGGTTAATTTTTGTATTTTTAGTAGAGATGGGGGTTTCACCATGTTGTGCAGGCTGGTCTCTAATCCACCTGCCTCAGCCTCCCA